GTCTGCGGCTCGCCTTTCTCCCGAGTGCCTGGTCGAGGAGGGGGAAGCCCAGAGCCCAGGCCGGAGCGCGGCGAGCCGGCGAGCTAGTGCGCAGCGCCCAGCCGAGCGGAGGAAGGAGCGGTGGCCGCCGGGCCCGGCTGCAAAACTTGCCCCGGCTCCTCGGCGCGCCTGGCAGCCCCGGTCCATGCTGACGGCGCCCGCCGTGCCCGGGTAGGACCGCGCGAGCCGCGGGCGCCCATGCCCTGCGCGCTCCGGGAGTGGTAGGTGCCGCTGCGCCGCGGCCGTGGGGCGTCAATGGATCGCCATTCCAGCTACATCTTCATCTGGCTGCAGCTCGAACTCTGCGCGATGGCCGTGCTGCTCACCAAAGGTGGGTGTCAGGGGGCCGGGGGCTCCCCGGGAGAGCGCGGCGCTTCTCTGCCCGCGGGGCTCGGCGACGGCGCGTCCCGGCGCGCGCGGGGTCTCGGGATCGGGTACCGCTGCCTGGGGGCTTTGCAGCCGGCTGCAGGGCTTTGTTCGCGGCGGGTGAGGTCCCCGCGCCGGAGCCCGCGGGGCACGCAAGTTGCTTTTCACTTGTCAAGGTGGTGGCTGCGCGGCCGCCCCCGGGGTGCCCCCGGCCCGTCGCGTTGATGGGGAGTCAGACCTCAGGGCAAGTGGCTGTCACAGTGCTTTTGTAGGTCTGTAATGAACTTAAGAACGTTTTCAGCGTGGAGCGGGGCCGTAGTACCGGCTCGGAGTGCCACCCTCCCTCGGCATCCCAGGGGCCCGGGCGGCCAGAAGGAGCCGCAGACCCCTGCCCCCGAGTGCATGCGTGTGTGCGCGCGCGCGAGTGTGTCTGTCTTGGTGGCTCTGAGTGTGGTTTTTTTTTTCCTTTTGCATGAGCGTGTCTTTCTGTGTATGTTTGTTGTGTGCTTGTGAGTAAATGCGTCTCTGTGTGAGTTTTTGTGTTGTTTCTTTGTGAGGCAGCGAGTGTGTGGGTCCCTGAGAGCGTGTCCCCGAGTGTGTGCGCCTTTGCGCGAGTGTGTTGTGTTGCTTTTCCGCTCTAGGAGGAGTAGGTTCTGTCAGCCGTCCCATTTCCCACTCACCTCGTATTTTACAAACACTACTCCAAAAAAGAAAACAAAAACGGGCGGTCAGTGATTTCTTCTTGCCCTGCAGGCTTTCACCTTTTAGGTCGTAGTAACCTCAGCTCCCAGTAGATTTCAAGGCTTACCCCAGCTCCGCGCTGTGAACTCTACCTACTGTTCTGCAAGCAGATCTTTTTTTTTTTTTTTTTAAGTAGGGAGCGGTATTTAGGTTTGCACCCCCCACTTTTCTCTAATTGCCATGTAGCAGGCATGAGGTTAAAGGATAAGCTAGCCCAGCAAGGATGATGTGCTACAGTATTTATTTATTTTGGAAGGAAGGGTGTAATTAACCCTAAATAACAGCCCTCCAAGCCTGCAGAGGGGAGCTTCCTGGCCCTATCAAAGTTCGGGAGAATGGGGAGGGACTGAAGCTGACATGAAGTCACAGATACCAAAACTATGTGCCTGATAATGATATAATTAGGGGATCAGAGATTTCTGACTGCTGCGGACTTCAAAAGCTTTAAAAGAAGCCAGCAGTCTCTCCTGTAGCCATCTTGACTAAAAGCAGACATTTTTGTTTAATCACTACATACAGTAACAAGAAAGGGGGAAACAGAAGAGCATTGTTCACTGTTTCAAAATACCATTCCCCTTTCTGGCCTTTTGCTTGCCACAGGAAGAAACTTTATGAAACGAGAGAAATATAGTTTTAATACAGTAATACAAAAGTCCATTCTCCTTGCTAAAATGTGGCTCCAATTAAAAGAAAAAGTTGTTAAAAACTTTCCCACTTCCCTGTCAAAATTTTATTAGACTGTTTTAGGTCATTGAAAATATAGTATCTTAAATAGAGTCCCACAGACATTTAAACCACATTTTACTTATGTTCAGTTTTTTTTTTTATCCTAGGTCTGAGACCAATAAGATGAAAATGGACTTTAAATCTGTTTTATTTATACTTGAAGTCTGTATATAGAATTTGTTATGCGGGGGGATATGTAATAGCCATCTTATCGCCACACGAGGCCAGTGAGCTTATGTGAAAGGTAAAGTCAGCTTGGAAAGAGGAAAAAAGAACTTCTGGAAAGCGAAGTTCTCCTTGAAGCAGTGGAGGCAGGATAAGCTGGAGAAGGGACTTGAGCCCTCCAGCTGTGGAGGGTTAATACACCAGGCTGCCGACCGTCTGGGTGTTTAGTTGGCAGTGTGTTAAGAGCTGAGGCATTAGCTGTCTCTGGTGAAGACAGAGCATACCACACGGTGGCCTGGAATTTGAACCGATAATTCAATGAAGACACCTTTTCAGGCGCTCACAGGAGAATAAAGAAGGTTGAGGAGGTTTCAGTAGCTAGACAGATCTTCCAGTTGCAGAGTGAGGAAGAGGTGTGTGCATTAGTTCAGTTTACAGTAGCTTTCCTTGTGGCAGGGCACAGAGGCTGGAGCCCAACAGGATGGCTGTCAGGTGAGTGAGAACACTGGGACCTTGCTGATTTCAGCTTGAGATGGATGTTAAAAGCCTCAGATCTTGCATTGTAGCTCAGTGTGCACGGTGACTTTCAACGCAGAAAATAAGTTTTATAAAGGAAACTTTTAATCACTTCCTGTAGAAAATTTTGAGGTTTCCTTAAGGATTTTTCATTCAACCAGCAGAGGCTTTTCGGTTTAAATGTTTCCCCTTTTAGATCACATGTTGAATTACATGTAAAACTGGGGAGTTAGGGGGAGGAGACCTTAGCTTTGCAGTTTCCCCCCCCTGTTTTACGACTTTCCATTTGGGTTGAAAGAAATTGACTTTGGCGAGCAAACCACTAATTGTAAACTGCCTAGTTCATGTTTTACAATATACTGACTCAAAGCTCCTCCGCATGAAAAGATCTTTATAGGAAAGTTTGCCTTTTCTAGAGGTTGCAAATAGCTGCCCAGTTTCATAGTTTTAAAACCTCCTGACCTGATGGTTGTGTTTCTAGTTAATAACTTCATAAGGTGTTAGCTAAAGCTCTTAAATCTTGGCAGGGCCCCGAGAGGTAGTAAACAATTTAGCAGTTCCGATCAAATATTTATACTGACAAAATCAAAAAGCCTAGCATTTTTGTGGTGTATGGTCACGTAGGATTAAAATGAATAAAAGCGTAATTTACCTCATGACAAGGGGAAATGTTCCATGATCGTGATTTTCCTCCAGAGTCAAAATTTTTTAAATTTGTAACTCATCGGAAATCTACATTGAACTTTGATTCTCTTCTGTTGGGATTGAGGCCTTTCTAAAGTTACGCTCAGCTGAGCTGAAACTTAGCGCGGAATTACACAAAGGCCTTTTGCAGCCTATGCTGACTTGTCTTTGGAAGCATTTAGCAGAGCGTTCAACAGGCTACTACTGCCTTTGAACTTGGGGTTTAGCAGTTGCTTTAAATAGATGCTGTCTCTGGTCTCTGCGGCAGAGTCTGATGTGCTTTCTCATTGTTTTCAGGTGAAATTAGATGCTACTGTGATGCTGCGCACTGTGTGGCGACGGGTTACATGTGTAAATCTGAGCTCAGCGCCTGCTTCTCTAGACTTCTGGATCCTCAGAACACAAACTCCCCGCTCACTCATGGCTGCCTGGACTCTCTGGCGAGCACAGCAGACACCTGCCAAGCCAAACAGGCACAAAACCACTCTGGCACCAGCATGCCCACATTGGAATGCTGTCATGAGGATATGTGCAATTACAGAGGACTCCATGATGTTCTCTCTCCTCCCAAGGGTGAGCCCTCAGGTAGGTAGAAGCCATTTCTAGCCAGAAAGCTTGCCTGGTCTATAGACTTGGGACGGCCAAGCCGTGGTATGTCTGCTATTGATTTTGTTGTTAATGTAATTAGAGACACCAGAGGGAGAAGCATGCCTGGATGCAAAGTTGCATCTCTATTGAGGAGCTTTTATATCTGCCTGAGCGGTAGCTGTCTGTCTCCATAATAGGTTTGGCCTGTTTTTTTCAACATTTGAAGACATTAAAAGACCATTACTACACAGTAATGACTGTCTGTTAACAAATGTAGTGGTAATCTCCTTTGGATTGTTGTGCAAAATTTATTTTCTAAATATTGCTCATTTAATTGTAAGCTTTTTGCAGTGGAATTCCTTGTTTACAGTGGATAGATGGTCGTTAATACCTGCGGGTGGAGTTGCGATCCGGAGTCTGATCACTTTTCTTTGCACCCTTTAGGACAAGGCAACAGACAGCAGCATGACAGCAGCAGAAACCTCATCACCAAGGTGCAGGACTTGACCTCCTCCAAGGAATTGTGGTTCCGGGCAGCAGTCATTGCCGTCCCCATAGCCGGAGGGCTGATCCTAGTGTTGCTTATTATGTTAGCCTTGCGGATGCTTCGAAGTGAAAATAAGAGACTTCAGGACCAGCGGCAACAGATGCTGTCCCGATTACACTACAGCTTTCACGGACACCATTCCAAAAAGGGGCAGATTGCAAAGTTAGACTTGGAGTGCATGGTGCCGGTCAGCGGGCATGAGAATTGCTGCCTGACCTGTGACAAACTGAGACAGGGGGACCTCAGCAACGACAAGATCCTCTCGCTCGTGCACTGGGGCATGTACAGCGGGCACGGGACGCTGGAGTTCGTATGACTGCATCTTACCGGCACAAAACTCCTTGAACGCTTGAAGGCCTTGGATTTCTGCTGGACGGGAGCACCTTATCTGAAGAAGAACAAATGTCTTTAATCATCTTTGACAGAGACAGAATAACCTCTGCAGACAGAATCTTGGGTATTTTCTTCTGAAGGATTATTTGCACAGACTTCCATACAGTCAAATGTATTATTTGCTTTGAAATGATAAAAGCAAAGAGAAAAGACTATGTACATACTGTTACCAGGGTTATTTGCATCCAAGGAGCTGGCATTGAGTACCTAAATAAACTAAAATGGACTCTCTGTAAGTTCTTCCATCTTGATTTCTTGTAAAGATTTAAAATATAAATATGTATATATATTTTTTTGGTCTGCAATTTAGTGGTGTCTTTCATAAATTAAAAACAAGGGGGACCTGTAAGAGGCTCCGTGTTGATGATACACGTGAAGATCTGTTCCACACCGTTGGCTCTCCACTGTAGGATTTGGTTTAATTTTTTTCATAAGATCCAGATCCTGTTTGTTCTTCCGCGCACATGTGTAATTATGGATCGTTTCTAAATGTGTGTGACTCAGCATTCAGTGTTCTACCCAGAGTTTGTTTGTTAGGTAATTCTGGTCTTTAGCCTTAATCTGAGAGATCTTAAACTTATTTATGGCAGCTCAGATACGTTGGATCACTTTCTGAAGTTGCCTTAGCCAAGTTGGTATTTTATCAGTTTGATGCACTTGCTTTGGTTATCTTTTTAAAATGTGTCTACCTCCAACCAAAAAAGAAAAACAGAACAAAACAAAATGAAAATCCAGTCCCTGTCTGCTTTTACTGTTGATTAACTCATCAGTTTATTCTGTCACAAACCAAATTAAATATTTTGACGCAAAACTTAGCCTAACTTTATTCTACCGTGTTCTTAATTTTTTAAATCTTGTCCTTCAATGTAGTGTTGTACTAACTTTTTTTTTTTTAATTTGTCTCAATCCTTAGGTTTTTAGTGGTGAACATTATATACCTACCAATTAAGATTTAAATAAGACATTGCTACAGGCTTTCTTCCCCCAGAGTGATTCTTCTGTTAATAGAACCAAATAGAAGGTTGACTTCAGCCAGGGGTTCCTGGGGCCAGGGGCTCCTGGGGGGCTTTCTGTCGGCAACACTGGCCCGCCCCAACTGAAACCTCTGCTGCATTGTGTGCTTCCCGGCACATAGGGCTTAGTTCTCTTAAATGTGGGAGGAATTTGCCGTGTAGGTTTTTCCTCAGTTGTATGTTCTCTTTGAAATGTTTGCTTAAAAATTAATTTATAGCCTACATACTTGAGTGTGGGGCTTTCTTTTATGAATATTAAAAATGATTTTGCATGTTCTTTTCCAGAATATTTTATGATAAACATAGTTTGGGTCCCTTCGGAAGACAGTTGGCAGTAGGCAAGTGCTTGGAAAAATCTGAATTGAAACGAGGTGGCGCAGTGGTTGGGTGATAACAGCTGCTAACCAAAAAGTCAGCAGTTCAGATCCATCTGCCTCTCCTTGGAAACTCTATGGGCTGTTCTGCTCTGTCTTCTAGGGTCACTATAGATCAGAATTGACTCGATGGCAGTAGGTTTGGTTTGGTTTTTAATATGAAGACGAATACCTAGATTAGTCATTAATAGGCCTATGGTCTCAAACGAGACGGTGCGGTATCTCAGTAAGTGCGTTTCGTGTTGTGCTGTTTGAGGTTCTACATGCCTTGTAATTCATAGAAGCTGATGAATTTTATGTGTCAGTTTTGAGGGACCAAAGAGTGGTCGAGCCCAGTAAACTTGTCTAGAGAAGAGAATCGATCAACGCAGAGTGACGGTGAGATCCCTACCCTCACTCGCTCTCTAGCGCGCCATCAACTTACACTAGGTCTGTAGTTGGAAGATTCAGACTTTTTGCCCTCAGGTCTATACACACCACCATGCCAGCACCACGGTTCTTGAAGCAGCCAGCCTGCATGTCAACTGTGTGTAGTTGAACACTTCCTCCTCCCTGTGCCTGCCTGCTATTCCCTGTTCACCCCATTTCTTCCAAGTACCAGTTAACCAAGGACTCCGTAATTCATTACGAAATAAAGCAATGAATGATTTAAGGTCATCTGCTTAAAACACTTTGAAATCGGTAAACGTGGCGCAGTGGTTAAGTGCTAACAGCTGTGAACCAAAGGGTCGGCAGTTCGAATCCACCTGGCGCTCCTTGGAAACCCTGTGGGGCAGTTCTACTCTGTTGTGGAGGGTTGCTGGGAGTCAGAATCGACTCGACGGTAACGGGTTTGGGTTTTTTCTTTTTGGTCTAGTGCTATAATCAGAAATTTTGGAAGATGAATGCAGTGTGTCTGCTTGGTCCTGTGTTTCCTGACCCACCTCCTCTTTCTGCTGTAAATTAAGCGTTTTACACCTGTCTACACGATGGGGGCGGAAGCCTTGGTAGCACAGTGGTTAAGCACTCGGCTCCTAACCGAAAGGACAGCAGTTCAAACCCACCAGCCGGTCCTTGGGAGAAAGATGTGGTAGTTCACTTCCGTGAAGATTACAGCCTTGGAAACCCTGTGGGGCGGTTCTACTCTGTCCTGTAGGGGTGCTGTGAGTGGAAATCAACTCCAAGGCATTAGGTGTGGTTTGGGTTGGTCTGATGGGGTGGTGGCACTGTGCTCAGGGACCATGAGTCAGGGTAGCTTTTCTGGGGCTTATGGTGCCAGCCATGTAATAGACTGGCCCTCTCTTCCTAATATGCATCTCCCTTGATATTTGCTTATGCCCTTGCAACCTTGCTTTTGTTATTAATTGCCACTGAGTTGATTCCGACTTACGGAGACCTCACGTGTACAGAGTAGAACCACTCCATAGGGTTTTCAAGGCGGTGACCTTTTGGAAGCAGGTCGCCAGGGCTTTGATCCGAGGCCCCTCTGGGTGGGTTTGAATTGCCGTCCTTTCTGTTAGCAGCCAAGCGCATAACTGTCCCTTCCAGCCGTCCTGCTACCAGTCTGAAAGTCCCATCTGTGCCGTTTGGCCTGCAACTAAAAAATATGGCCAGATTTCCCAACTTTAACTTTTGCTAAGACCTACCTGTGGGTTCTACCTGTCCTTCCATGTGGGAGTAGAGGTTGTAGGGGGCGGGAGATAAAGGACCCTTCCTGAAGTCTCTGCCTGCCGGCTTTGGTGATGGGAGAATGGTGGTAATGACCGCGCTGTTTGTTTTTCTCTCTTAGAGATGTTTACCGTTACCCTGAGGTGTCAGTACAAGGCCTGGCTAACTAGGAACAGCCCTTGTTTAATGACTGTTTAAAAAACAGAAAAGTAATTTTCGTTTCTTAGTGGAAATTTGCCCAAACCAGAGACAAATGGGACCAAAATTGCCATGATGTTTCTTCTGTATCTACATCCCTTTTATCTTCCCCTGTTTTGAAAAAATAGATCTGTGTATGGTTATGTCTTATGTTATTTCCTCCCCGCCCCCACCCCCGGTTCTGAAAGGTTCAGAGGCTTCCTAGGAATTGACTGGTGTGTCTCTAGTTTCTGCTGAACTGATTCTAATAAAAACACTGCACCATAGGGGGTTTGACCTTCTAAAATACCAAACATGTCTGCTTTAGAAAATCACAAAGCTCTCCTCTGAAGAGCTCATAAATCTGGTTTCAATATAGGGTGATTATAGGCTAAAAGCTTGAAAGCGGTGGCATCTAGTATCATGACTCTGGAACTAGCCTGTTTGGGGCCAGAACAGCTTTTTTCCCTTATAACCTCTAATTGGTCCTCCTCTCTGCCTCTTAGCCCAGATAACTTTAAAGCTCTAAAAGCTTCGCAGCGTGATGAGGCTGAACTGGGGTAGTAGTCAAGGGCGCTTTGGAGTCCCCCCGACCTCGATTCAAATGTTGCCTACTGGCAGTATGAGCTTGGGCGATTTACTTAAGCTGTTTGAATACTCAGTTTTGTTACCTGTAAAGTGGGGACAATAATACTTGATGGGGTTATTGTGAGGAGATATATTAGTTATTCCCATTAATATACACAAGAGACTTGGGTGAACTACAGAGTGGCCCAGTGTAATATTTCTTAAAATTTGATAAGTGGTGCTATTGTTTTACCTGGTGGATGTTTTCACTTGGCTTTTTAATATTTAAGGTCTTTGCAAATTTAAAATTTGCAGGCCCTTCTGTGGCCTGCAGACTGGATTTATCATTTCAAAACTTTATTTTCAATGTACTACTTTTGTTCCCTCATGTGTACCAATTATGTTGGTTCGTACTTGCTTCCTTTTGGAATGATCTGGATGACTACTGATAAGAACGTATTTCTTTCACGTACCCAGTTTGTTTCTTGCTGTGTAACAGAATGCAGTTCTTTTCGAGCTTCAGTCACTCCAGGGGCTTCATCCATTGAGAAAATCAAGAGCCCAGTTAGGTGACAGAGAATGTTTCACAATGGCTCCAACAGTCTACTCAACAAATCTGAGACGGTCCTGCCATCAATTACAATGGGCTCATAGGTACCCCCAACAAAATATAAATAGTTTCACAACTGGTTTTGGAACTTTGTAAATTTTGTTTTTATCAGCCTAGTTAGTGAAAAGGAGCCCTGGTGGCATACTGGTTAAGTGCTCAGCTGCTCATCAAAAGGTTGGTGGTTTGAACCCACCCATTGGCTCTTCGGGAGAAAGATCTGGTGATCTGCTCCCCTCAAGACGACACCAAGGAAACCCTCTGGGGCAGTTCTACTTTGTTCCGTGGGGTCACTGTGAGTCGGAATTGACTGGACGGCACCAAACAACAGTTCGTGAAAAATTTCGTCTTCCTGGATGGAGTTAATTGCTCAGTGGATCACAGTTATAACGGAAGAAATAACTGCTCCAGACATCAGCTCACTTCTCTGTCCTCTACCCAACCCATCTGTCAACGTTACTCTTCACTCTGGTGACTTAAACACTTAGATTGTTGATCAGAGACTTTGAGATCCCATAAAGGAAGGAAATTAAACCCTTTTCCAAATTTTGACAAGTGTTCGTCTGGGGTAGAGTTTTACACTTTGGATGCCCCACATAGTTTCGCAATATGGCGGTGTAATTCACTTGTCTGAAATTCTAGAAATCTGGGGAGAGGTTGGGATGGTGGCAGAGAGCTGAATTTAGCCAGATGAGGGTTTGGTTCTTGCAGTAAGGCAGCAATTCCCCAGCAGATCTACTTTCTAGAGTTTCAAAGTGTTTATTGCTAGGGGAGACCTACCAGCTATAAATCTGCACTTTCCCCATTCTCGGAATATGGAAAGGGGTTCAGCGAAGGGCACTGATTAGCAATCTTGGGAGCTACTTTTGGGTGAGCAGTCAGATAATAAGGCATTTAAGATTCGGTTGATCTACTGA